GTTAGGATCAGGAGGTGAAGGAGGACGAGCCGGAGAAGGTGTAAGAGTGTAGGGGATTTTCGTCGTCCTACAATTACGTCGCGCTTTTGAGGTATACTCTACTTACTCTTCCTTTCTACCTGGTTTGTGTGTCTCATCCTTGGCTGACTAGTATTGCTTACTCAGGTTTGGTTCTTTGAGTATTTCCTGGACCTCGCGCCTGAGCGTACTAGGGTTATGGCTGTGCCAGTTGTTGCCTCTTGGGCGGGCCGTGTTCTGGGCTCGCTCGGCGTTCCACGTTTATGGCGTCTGATGATTGATGAGGTACTGACGCTTCTTACCCTTGGAATCACGCTTTATCATCGTTTTACTCATGGATCTGATAGTAGTTTTGTCTTTATAGGGGTCTGAGGTGCGGTATCGTCCTTGGGCTGGCTTTCAGGTGGGCGGCAATGGATTTTAGCTGTCCACTGAGCGGGTGATCTTCCATGGTACCTACCACCCGGTCTGGTATTGTGGCGAGAGGGTTTCCCGCCAGCACAGTGTGGACTTCTTCTTGGTGCCGGCAGATCCTCCTCAATCGATCACTGAGACATAGCGGGTGTTGGCTCATCTGCTATCCTCAGCACCGACTTCCTATTACTGGCGGACGTTGGTGGTGGATGGTACTTCCTATACGGATGCACTTGTCCCTAGGCTGGCTCCTTTTCCGGCCGACCTTGAGGTTTGCTTCTTACCCTTACCGTATTGTATTTTCACTGCTAGATTGCTACTCACTTGTTGCCTTGTTTTTTCAACAGGAGGAGGAGGAGTATGATCCTGACTCATGGATTCAAGACAGGTCTATTGAGTACCAGGGGCCGGCGGGCTACGTGGTGGAGTACCTCGAGCCTGCCCCCGAGGAGTGGTGTCTGATAGAACGGCGCATGGAGTGGTGTCTGATAGAACGGCGCATTCCTCGCTCATTGACTTCAGTATGCCTCTTTGCTATTACCATTCGGATTTGTGATACTTGTTGTATTCTGACCTTCTTTTGTTTTCAGCTTCCTCGTGCTGGAGTGCTTCGCCTGGTTAGGGCATTGGACACAGTTCGTCACCACCTGGTCGAGTGGAGTTGTCGAGGTAGAGATACTGGGGTGGAAGAGCCGGTGAGTATTGCTTTACTTAGCTGCTTTTACTGTTCATGATCATGTTATTGACTTTTCTGTTTTTGTTTCAGCCAAGGCGTATCCAGCGGACGAACAGAGGCCGTGGCAGAGCTGATGCCGGTGGCTCGCAGTCCGGTGGTCGCGGCTCATCTCAAGGTGGGGTTGGTGGTCGAGGCCCGAGGAGAATACCCACTGGTGGTCCGGTGATTCGGGAGTAGAGTGGAGCTAGCCTCAGGTCAGAGAGAGTTTATCGAATGCCTGCGAGCCCCCAGGTTGCTTCTGACCCTCGCCTCTCGACTTCTCGTGTCCCTCTTCTGTCGAGTAGTGGGCCCAGGTGCGATGATACAGTTGGCTCGAGCTCGGCTCCAGTTTCTTCCACAGGCCGACCACTGAGTCAGTTTGCGGACGTGCTGTGGAAAACTGGAAGAGAGGGATCGAGTGCTGCCACCTTCTCTTGCTCGAAGGAGACTTGGACCGGGCCAATCTTGAGCTACGAGACCTATGCCATGGGTAGTACGGTGTCGTTGGTGATGGAGTCTGGAGCTAGTGCCGGTGCTTCTCAGTTGGAATCACTCATTTTTGCGACGTGGGATGGCTTGACTTCTACTCAGTCGGGTACCTTTGGCTCTCAGGGTCCCGGGTCATAGAGTTGTACTGCTGCTGATTTTTGTATTCATCTGATTGATTTGTATGTGACTTGTATATATGCTTACACTTGTACATATTTCTGCACATTTATTTTGACTTTTCGACTCGTTCACGATTTTGCTATATTTATCATGTTTATCATTATTAACACTTTGCAAGAAAAAAGCAAAAATTCCGTATCATTTTTTGTCATAAGTGGAGGGTATCCCTACTTTCTCCCAAAAATAAAAAGAAAAAAGAAAAAATAGAAATAATAAAAAGTGTGGGAAGAAATTAATGAAATAAGAAAATAAAAATAAAAATAAATAAAAACAAATAGAGATAGAAACAAAGGAAGGATAAGAAATAATAGTAAAGAAGAGATAAAAACGGAGATATGAGATCATTGAGAGGACAATCAGATTATGATTGTGAAAATTAAGCCAAAACGAGTCAAAACACGGATCTAGGAAGTTGACGCCTGGCGTCAGGCTTAACGCCGGGCGTTAGGCTTGACGCCTGGCGTTAGCTTTGACGTCTGGCGTTAAACCTTGACGTCTGGCGTCAACCCCAGATATACTTTTTTCCACACGGAGTCTAACTCCGTACTTGCTTTGCCTATAAATAACCCCCTATTTCGTATTGTTTAGCCGCAAAACGAAATACAAAATACAAAATACTCTCAAAAGATGTCTAGGGTTTTGAGGAGATTATGAATGAATGGTGTCGGTCCTTGTCCAAGGGCTAACGGGGAAAGCTAGATCGCTTAGGATTTAGGGCGCTTTTAGGACTTAAGAGTTTTGCCTATGATCATGACCTTTTCTGTGCATGTCGCCATTATTGGGACCCCAAAATCCATTGCTTTAGGTTTGAGGGAGCGCTTGTGAGTGTAGAACTTTTCCCGTTGCCTGAGGAATTTAGTGCTATAATAGGTTTCCACCAAGACCGTTTACCTGTTATACCCACTGTGTCGGAATACTATTACCGTGACTTTAAAAAATTCTTCAACCTTAAAGGTGACAAGTTAACCGAAATTGTCCATGGTAGAGAAGTGGACTTAGTTCAGTTTAACCTTTATTATTCCGATATCAATCTACCTGTGTCCCATACAGTCTATAAGAGGAGAGGTTTCCTGTTTTGCATGTTTAGCCTGATGTTACTTGTCAATGGGGAGGATAATCCTTTTGGGAATGCCGCCATTGTTTCTATAGTGGAACAAGTTGAAGCTGGAAGGGATCCTTCCCATGTCATTGTGGGAGAAACTATGATGGGTTTGGATGTTAACCGAAAGGACCCTTGTGCTAAGATGAGGGGTACTCCCGTTCTTTTGCAGGTAGAAGAAAATTACAAAAAAATTAATACTTTTATTAATAATCAAAATTTGTACATATACTAATTATTTTAATGTTACAGGTGTGGCTTATGGAACATCTTGAACTACTCGTTGATCCTCGAGTTGATGAATTCCTTAATCCTGGCTCCATTGCTCGTAGGAGGAGGCGATTTCCCAAGAAGAGAAGCCATCAAGAATGGGACACCCTTCTCCTTGCTCGTGACTTTATTGTACGCTGGGTTGTGGGATGGTGGCGCTATTTAGCAATAACTGTTTTTTCATCGGCTGCTTGTTGTCATATCCCTAGTCTTACCCATTTGACCTTCTATTATCCATGCTTGGCGATGCGTCAATATGGTCAAGACCAAATTATTCCAGAAGGAGAGATCAAATATCCCGGTGAAGTTCCTCTTGATGCTGCTGTTATTAGAAGATTTGAAGGTCATTGGGACAAACGCGCCGTTGTATGCAAAATCAAATTCAATGAACACCGAGGCCCTCCTTCTAGAGAGTACTATGAGTGGCTACAGGATCGCATTCTGAAGGATAATGAAGTTCAAACAAACCCTGTGAAGAATCGCCTTGGAGACAAGAAACTACCCATCAAGAAGCGTCTGGGTCCTTCTCCTAGACCTACTAGAGTGGTGTTTATAGATCCTAAGGAGGCTAGAAAGAAGAAGACTCATGTTGCAGGGAAGGGGAAGGGAATCATGGTAGAAGTAGAGCCTAAGAAGAAGACTAAGGAAACTTGGAAGCCTAAAGAAGTTGGGGAGTGTTCTAGGGTGAACATTCGTACTACTAATGGCTCCCTATTGGTGCAGGAGGAGTCTAGAAAAGACAAGAATGATGGGGATAGGAACCCGAAAAGGGTTAGGAAGGGCAAGAAAGAGTAGATGAATATTGTTTTTTTAATAATAAGGCACCAGGCCATTTATGTTAGTCATCTTATTAGCTAGTTAGGTTTATTGTAAAAGCAAAAAATAAGGCACTAGGCCAAATTTCATTCATGTACTTTTATTAATACAAGCATTTTGATTTGTTATTAAAAATAAACCTACTGTAGCCTGAATATCATAACCCAGAAGAGTAGCCTGCAGGGCGCTTCCATCATATAACATCTTTGGCAGTGACTTCCTTAAAAAATTCCCAACTGTTGCCTAAAATTCTACTTTTCATTAGGGAAATTTTATTCTTGAAAAATCTTGAAGATTCGGCTTGAAAAATCCGCGCAATGTAATTTGTTTTACGCAATGTAATTTGTTTAATTCTTGCAAAATAATTATGTGATTCCGTTGATGCTCGGAATTCTCCAAAACTTCGTCGTATGAGGTCTGCCACTATACACATCACTCGCCAGAAATTGCAAGGCTAACGCCAGCGTCTGGGAGTTAACGCCTGGCGTTAGAGTTGACTCCAGGCATTAACTATGTTTCCATGGCGTCAGCTTCCTTATGCTGGCGTTTGCAATCTGGGTAGGAATGTGTTGGTGTTTTTATTATGGCCGCACACTAGAAGGGTTGCCTACGTATCCTGTTTTAGGAATCAGGCTAAACGTAGCTCTTTGTTCAGGGATTTATGATGCTTATGGCTAAAATTTCTTAAGTTGGTCCATATTTGTCATATTTGAGAATTCATTGCCATCCATATCAGTGAGTTTTGTTGCTCCCCCTGATATAATAGTCTTGACGATGTATGGACCTGACCAATTGGGCCTAAATTTGCCCCTTGGGTCTAACACGTTCTTTCTCAAAGCTTTTAACACCAGGTCTCCTTCCTTGATGTTTCGTGTTTTGAATTTTTTGTTGAAATGTCTAACCATTCTCTATTGGTATCCCTGAACATGGTTTAATGCTGCAAGGCGCCTTTCATCAAGCAGGATCAGTTCCTCATACCGTGCTCTAGCCCATTCAACCTTATCTAACTGACTTTCCAAGGCAATAGCAAGGACAGTACTTCCAGCTCCATGGGCTGTACCGCATCCATTCCATATACCAATGAGAAGGGTGTGGTTCCAGTGGATGAGCGAATGGTGGTTCGGTACCCCACAAAGCATAAGGTAGCTTGCTTGGCCAATCCTTGTATTTTTCAGTCATTTTTTCAATGATAACTTTCAGATTCTTGTTCGCTGCTTCAACTACTCCATTGGTCTGAGGTCTGTATGGTGATGACAGATGATACTGTATTCCATACTTCTGTAGTAGTTCTGCACACTCAGCTTGAAAATGAGTCCCGTTGTCACTGATCATCTCATGAGAAACCCCATATCGGCATATAATGTTACGTTCTATGAAGAGAGCGACGTGCTTTGCTTGCAACTTGGCATGCGAGGTGGCTTCGACCCACTTAGTGGAGTAATCGATTGCAACCAATATGAACTCATGTCCTCCAGTGCCTGGTGGATGAATTTTCCCAATGATGTCAATTCCCCATGTTGAAAATGGCCACGGAGATGTGTAGGTGTAGAGCAATAACGGGGGTACATGTTTTAGGTTGGCATAGATCTGATACTTGTGACACCTTTTCACATGCTGATGACAGTCACGTTCCATGGTAGTCCAATAGTACCCTTGTCTGATGATCTTCTGGACCAACATTTTTCCGTTCATGTGAGTCCCACACACTCCCTTGTGGATGATCCTCATAATTCTTTGTGCCTCTTGATGAGATGCGCAAAGTAACGCCCTCCCATTAGGCACTCTTTTGTGTAGATTTCCATTTATGAGGACATACTGTGAGGATCTTAATGCTCTTCTGGCTCGTTTATCAGTATTAGGTGGATACTCTCCTTTGGCGACATAATTCAGAATATCAGTGTACCACGGCTCCTGAGTGTCATCGTCTTCTACTGTCTGGATGTATGCTGGTGCATGCTTCTTTTCGATGATCAAAGGCATTTGTTCGGTGCCTTTAGGGATCCTAACCATTGCGGCTAGTCTCACCAAAGCGTCAGCGAACTGATTTTCTTCCCTTGGTAGGTAACTGTAGTCCACCTTTTCTAGCTGATCTGTGAGAGTCTCGAGGTATGCCTGGTAAGGAGCGAGGCTTTCACTTCGCACCTTCCACTTCTTGGAAATCTGGTTGATGATGAGAGAGGAATCTCCATATACCCTAAGTTTCTTGATTCCCAAGGCAAGTGCGGTTTCCAATCCCACTATGCATGCTTCATATTCTGCGGCATTGTTGGTAACATCGAAGTCGACCTTGATTGAAATCGGTACATGTTCCTCTGTGGGTGACACTAGTAGTACTCCAACACCGCATCCTTTTTTATTAGATGCGCCATCGAAGTATAAGACCCATGTGTCATCTTCAGTTACCATTAGTTCTTCATCAGGGAAATCATAGTTGGCTTCGTCATTTGCTTCCTTGAAGTCTTCTATAGGAAAATCAACTAGAAAATCTGAGACTACGGATCCCTTGATTGCCTTTTGTGGAACGAACTTGAGATCAAATTCTGAGAGCATAACGATCCATCGGGACAACCTCCCATTCACAGTTTCTTTCTTGAATAGATATTTAAGGGGATCTATTCTTGAAACAACATGTAATGTATGAGTGAGCATGTAGTGCCTCAACTTCTTTGTAGCCCACACTAGTGCGAGACACAACTTTTCTAATGGCGTGTACCTTGTTTCGTATGATAGCATCTTCTTACTGAGATAGTACACGACATTTTCCTTTCCCTCTATCTCTTGTGCGAGCATGGCTCCCATGGTTTCCTTTGTAACAATTAAGTAGAGGCGTAAAGGAATATTTGGGAGTGCAGGTGCCAATACTGGAGGGTTGGCCAGGTAGGCTTTAATCTTGTCAAAGGCTAGCTTACAATCATCATCCCAAGTTATTGGCACATCCTTTTTGAGCTTCTTGAAGATTGGTTCGCAAATAGTAGTAAGCTTAGAGATGAACCTACTGATATACTGTAAACGACCAATGAAACCTCGTATCTGCTTCTCGGTCTTTGGTGGTGGCAAGGACATGATGGCTTTGATTTTAGCTGGATCGATCTCAATTCCCCTTGAGCTTATGACATAACCCAAGAGTTTCCCGAATGTAACAGCAAATGCACACTTGGCGAGATTCAGCCTCATATTGTACTTCCTTAGCCTCTCGAAAAACTTTCTCAAGTCTACTGTATGTCCCTGTCTATATTTGGACTTCACAATCATATCATCCACATAGACTTCTACCTCTTTGTGCATCATGTCGTGTAATAACGCGGTTGCGGCTCGTTGATAGGTAGCACCTGCATTCTTCAACCCAAATGGCATCACTATGTAGCAATAAGTACCAGTGGTCTTCTCCTTGTCACTTTCTGCCATGAAAATCTGGTTGTATCCTGCGTACCCATCCATGAATGACAGAAGTGCATGATTCGCAGTGTCGTCAACCAATATGTCGATATGGGGTAGTGGAAAATCATCCTTCGGGCTTGCCTTGTTGAGATCCCTGTAGTCTACGCACATCCGAACCCTTCCATATTTCTTGAGAACTGGTACCACATTGGCGATCCATTCTGGATACTTGGAGACTTTGATAAAACCTGTTGTTAGTTGCTTTTTAATTTTATCTTTTATCTTTAAAGCTACGTCGGGTTTCATTCGGCGCAACTTCTGTTTTACAGGTTTCATTCCAGGGATTAAGGGTATAGTGTGTTCGACTATCTCTCTACTAACGCCGGGCATATCTTCATATGACCAAGCGAAGACATCTATGAACACAGTTAGTAGTTGAATTAATTCAATTCGCTCCTCACTAGTTAAGGTTAGTCCAATCTTAACTTCCCTTTTAACAGTGAGAGTTGGGGAAAGGTTAACTGTTTCAGTGTCTTCTATGATGGAAGTTTTGTTTTCATATTCTTCCATGGCTATGACTAACTCTTGGTTGGCATTATTATTATTAAAGCAATATTCATCATGGGGTTAAGAGAATGACACGATGAGTAAGCAAAGGCGTTCATGTTATTGAATTCAGAAAAGAGTACATCGAAAGAGGGAGGAGTAGAAACATCCTCCTTATTGACTACTTGAGAAACAGAAATAGAATTCCTAATGGACCTAGGATACTGAGAAGATTCAGTCTCGGACTCAGACTCAGACTTAGACTCGGACCCAAACGACTCTAATTCTTCAAACATGGGACCCTCTCCAGCAGTTATGATCACTTTCCTTCCATCTGGCGCAGTCACTTTTAAAGTCTTCCTCCATCCTTGAATGGTTCCTTCGGCCAGGGACGATCAGATTGGTGGGATCGAATTACGGGCTCTGTAAGGCTGATTGCATCACAATGGGATCTTCATATTTTCTCACCTTCTTTGTCTTCTCCTATCCAAAGAGAAGTCCAAGTGCCTTCAAGTCCATGCATGGTGGAGTTGCTTCCTTAGTTACCATTGATATAGCTTCATCCAACAAGTTGCAATCTAGGAAAATTTCAAACCCAGGAAAATGTATCCCTCCTTGGACGAGTGGTTCAGGGAAGTCATAGCATGGTCCGTCTTCTCCTTCTATCATGAATTGTCCATTGAGTGTAAGTGGATACGGTTCGCTAGATAGGGTTCATCCTTCCTTCCTTGCTTTGCGTCGTTCGTTGATACTTACCAGGGCTTGCGTTGAGTCCTCGGGAGTTGGTTTGTAACCAAGTCCGAAGGTGTCTTTCTTTGGAAGCCCTGGTAGTCCCATTCTTTTTGATGCTTGTTTGTTCCTTCCTAATGTCATTCTAGGAAAGTAACCTTGATGTTTCAGTAGTGCATTAACGAGGAGATTGGAATATGGATCAAAGTCAAGTGGAGCTTTTTCTTCCTCGATCATGGTGACATAATCGGTTTGGAATCCCCATAATTCCTCATCTTCTTCATCGTGACTGACATTAATGAGGGACTTGTCAACCACGTTGATTTTCATTGGGGATGCATCTATGACCACGGGTACCCCGGCTACTATGGCTTTTACCTTCTGATGTAATGATGAAGGTACAACCTTAAGGTCGTGTAGCCATGGTCTTCCAAGCAACAAATTGAATGAGGGTTTGATGTCTACCACTTGAAATGTCGTAGCACGTTCAATGACTCCAGCAGTGATGTTCATAGTGATAGTTCCAAGGGATTGCCTTCTAGAGTTGTCATAGGCTCGTATCCCTTGTGATGATGGATTGAAGTCCTCCTCTTTGAATCCCAATTTAAGTGCAGTCCGAAGGGGACAAACATTTATAGCCGAACCATTGTCAACAAGAGTCATTGGTACATTCATTCTCTTGCAAACAACAGTTAGATGTAAGGCTTTGTAATGTTTTTCGCCTTCTGGAGGTAGATCATCGTCTGAAAAGGTTATGGGATTCGTTGCTTTCGGTAAATCATGAGTTAAGTAATTTACCAATCCTTCTGGAGTTGTGTCTTCATCAACCTTTATCTTGGTAAGAGCGTTCAAAACCGCCTCTCTATGCTCGTAAGATGATGCTAGCAACTTCTATATGTTCATTTGAACCTTAGTCTTCTTCAACTGTTTCACTATCTCGTTATCTTCAATGAGTGAAAGAATAGGTTAAGTAGATTGCGCTTGAGGTTGCGGTTGCAATACTTCAGGTTGAGTTCGTCCTGACCTAGTGAGCACAATATTAATGGGTGGTTCCTCATCCCATATGTCACTGAAGTCCTCTTCCTGATGAATGATTTCCAATAAATCCTTACGGTATTCGTCCTTGTCGTTGTCATCCCACACACCATTGATAGTTGGTTCATCATTGAGCTTGAATCTCTTTGGTCCATCATGCCTTTCAAGTTTCCATGCTCGTATCAAATCTTGAATGACAATCTGGAACCCATGACACTGACTGAGGGTATAACCTTTGTATTGATGATAGCGACAATAGAGGTGTGCCTTCTCTTTAGGTGGTCTGAATTCGTATACTGGTGGAAATATAGGTTTAATTTCCCCCTTTTCCATGAGCATATCGAAGAGTTCATCGTAACCTTTAATATGAGAAGGGCCAACTCTAGCTCGTCCCGTCACCTGATCAATCTTACTTCGTAATTCCTGTAGGGCATTGTTGCAGTCTTTCTGAGCATCGCGCCGTCGGCTTTCTTCATGGATTATTTGGTAGTGTAAGTTTTTGACGATTTGAGTGAGGTCTTTAAGGGTATTGTTTATTTGGGTGACTGTTTCATGGGTGATAGGTTCAGGTTCTTTGGGTGCATCGAAGAATTCTTCTTCCTCTTCCTCTTCGATGTTACAGATTTGTTCGTGGATGGTAATGGTTTTTCGTGGGATGGGTTTGTTAATGGGAAAAATGAGAATGGAGGGGTCATCGATGGGTAGTTGGTCAAGAGAGATGACAAGGGTTTCATTTAGTGGAGATGTGTTTATGTTGGGTTTCTTGCTTGCCGGAGGTACAGGGATTTTGTTGGCGTCAATCAGGTCTTGAATCTCGTGCCTCAATCTCCAACAGTTGTTGGTAGAATCCCCTTTACCTTGGTGGAACTTACAATATGCGTTCTTGTCCCACCTAGGCCCCCTCTTCTCGACTGCTGGATCCTCTACTGGCCCTATAGGAGTAATGAACTTTCTAGTATGAAGTCAATCAAATGCGGTGTCATAAGTCATACCAATAGGAGTGAAGACCCTCCTTGATTCACGTCGAGGCTTTGCACTGTCTACCGCCCATACATCACTAATATTGTTGTTGTGGGCATAGCTATTAGTGTGGGTGTTTTTGGGATTCGAGGAAGAGGGTTCGCTCTTCTTGCCCTTCCAGCCACTACTATTGTTGTTATGACCTGTGGATTTCTTTGCAAGGAAGTCTTCAATATCGATCCCCACATTGTAAATCGAACTGAAAGAAGTATGTCTTGAAAACCTCATGTGTTGCTGGTATTCTTCTTGGAGGTTCTCAACGAATTTCTTCACTAATTCTTTTTCAGTTGGTGGATTGATCATGTTAGCTGTAGCAGTGTTCCACCTTCCGAAAAATTCAGTGAACCCTTCCCCTTTATTTCATTTCAGGAGACCAAGTTCCCTTAAGTCGTGCTCAGGTGGGAGGTTTTTCTTGTATCTTTTCATGAAAAGTTGACAGATTCCTTCCCATGATTCAGTGAGTTTGGGTTCTTGAGCACAAAACCAAAGTTGAGGAGTGTAATCAAGAGACATAGGAAATAAGGTGGGGAATAGTTTCCTGTCAATTTTCTTGATGATCATGACAATTTCAAAGACATTCAAGTGGTAGAGAGGATTGTCAGTGGCTTTGAACTTTGGGATGTCAAGTGTGTTGAACTTGTCAGGAAGGATGTTGGGATCAACATCGATTTGTTTGCGGACTTGTTCATAAGCATTCGATCCTTTGGAAAGTTGAGCAACCTTCCCCTAGAGAGTCTTAATGACTTCTTGGGACTTGTTGGATTCTTGGACTTGAAGGGTAAGAACTTGCATTGCTTCAGTCATGGTCTTGTACTGGTCCTTCATTGCGTTAACTTCTTCAACGGTCGCCATCCTTTTCTTAGCTAGTCTTCTTTCTAGTGACACTGGCTCCCTAGCCCAAGTAATGAAATGGAGAGTGGAAATGGTTCAATGTTTTGACTCACTTGGCTAAAAAAACGAAAAAACGAAAAAAAGGTAGGGGTATAGAGTTCATGTATGGGAGGATACTATCCTACTTAATCCCTAAAAAAAGAGACAACGAAAAGACTGAGGACTTCCTATTCATGGTTATGGGAAGAGTGGGACTCGTGTGTGCATAATTGTAGGGGGTTTTCATCGTCCTACAATTACGTCGCGCTTTTGAGGCGCGGCGGCTCACCCAGGCTAGTCGGGATTTAAAGAAATGGAGTCGCCAACAAATATTTAAGGAATTTGGAAACTGTTAAACCGTTCGCGATTACAAAGGTTACACCCCTATCCGCCCTTTTCCCGTTTGAAGGTCAAAGGGGTGAGTTGTGCCCGGATTGTGGTACGAAACCAGTATGTGGGTTCGGGGATGATGGTACGAAGTCGGGTTCGATTATGACGTCGACGCCTACTCCGCCCGTTAAACGACCTCTACTTGATCCAAATAACAACGATTCGCGCGTCCAATTGATATACATTACAACATGTTAGCCCTAAATATGCTTTTAGCTAGATTGGTTGACTATTATAACATATAGAACTATCATTGGTGACCACTTGAGATTAGGATCCATATTAAACCTAAATAGGATTATTAATTATCTTATTAGGCGTGATTGCACATACAAATTCCCTTTAAGCATACAATATGGTAATCATACAACGATGATGATAATAATAATAATAATAATAATAATAATAATAATAATAATAATAATAATAATAATAATAATAATAATAATAATAATAATAATAATAATAATAATAATAATAATAATAATAATAATAATAATAATAATAATAATAATGATGGCATAATAAGCAAGCAAAAACATAGCAATATCAATAATCGATAATCGTTTATAACGACTATCTAGCCCTGCAGGAAATCTTTAGTAATATTCCTGCAAAACAACGTTAGTGACAGCATAACTAATGAACATCAAAGATTTTCATGGTTAAAGCAATACTCACTTTCTTATAACGATATCCTCGCTGCCACACGAATACACACGTTAGTAGATTCAGGAATAATAAACCGAAATTGAAATAACGATAATAAAAAGGGAAAGGGAATAAAAGTTTAGACTCATTTGGTCCAAACCCTCAGAAATATATTAACCTTGTACCAAGGGATCTAAGATCGTATGAGCGACTAGGCGTAGGGTGTCTTGGGCGTCGTGGAGGGCGTATTTTAAAAGGGTTTAGAAAGGCTAAGAGAGAGAAAAGAGAATTCGTCAATACGAACTAGAGAGAAGGGTTTATTGATCTTCCGATCTGTTGAAAACGGGGAATCGAGGGGGGAATTTATAGGCACGGGGCCAGTATAAAAGATAGAGACGAACTCAAGAAGAACCGGGCTGACGCCAGGCGTTAAAAGTTAACGCCAGGCGCTTTGAAGGTCAAAGGGGTGAGTTGTGCCCGGATCGTGGTACGAAACCAGTATACGGGTACGGGGATGATGGTACGAAGTCGGGTTGACTATGACGTCAACGCCTACGTGTATATTCCAGAAGCCTCTACGTCTCCGGCATGGTTAAAGAAA